CAGGAAAAAAATAACTACTATGTAATCATGCACAGTAATTACATACTCCCTAAATTTTTGGAACTGAGGGAGTATATACTAAATCAAGCATAATACAAGCACATCAAATTTGAAGCCTGTAAATACATGTATAGATAATTTCATCTAAAAGGAGGAAACGTTGTTTCAAAATTTTGGACTACATTGTATTGTTTGATAACGAGGACAAAATGCCAGTAAAAATATCTAAATGAAAAAAAAAACCATTCTGAGATATCTTAATTTTAAATTGAGTGACTACAAGACATTAAATATAATTGGGAGATGATGATTCATTTTTTTCACAACCATTACATGAAAATATTGTGAATTGTATAAATGATTTTGGATGGCCTAGGTAAAAAAAATACAATTCATGTTTTAAGACTAGTATAGATATCCTATCACCTTATACCAGAGTTTCAACGACATGTACTATTGACACATTTCCTAGGGTTTCCCCCGGTACGCAGAGGGCAGTGGGGAAGGGGTGTACCCAATGCCCTTCAGGAAAGTCCGGCGGCGCCCGCAGGCGTCACCGCGTCGATGACAGGCGAGCCGCCAAGGGTTTCTCCCAACCCAAACAACCACCACCCCAGACGTTTTGGAATGCACCACCAGACCTCCCTCCCACCAGCATGTGCCACCACAGTTACCGAACCAACCTCGTCGTCGCCCTGAGGCCACCGACACGAGACATGGAGGAGGGACGAGGAGCCAACGGGCTCGGAGGCATCCGCAACTCAGCCGACGGGAGGGGACAACCACCAGCGTCAGAGAAGTACCACATGCAACCATTTTGTTTTGAAACCACATTCAACTACAAATATCAAACAATCAACAAGGATCCCTCGTCTCACGACTGAAGTACAAGATCTAACATCTTTTGGCAGTGCCTAGGCAGCTCATGCCGTCACACTCTCCACACCATCTGTAAATATATATCTGCCCATGTTTTGTCAAGAAAAAAATCCTGCCAGATAAGAAGGCGCAGAAGACAGTTTTTTTTCCATTGCGTGAGTTTACAAGACAGATGATAATGTCTAACACTGAGCTGGATATTATTCGAAATCATTTGTGTTTGGTTGCAAAGTAGTTTTAAAGTATTTCAGGAATACTGCAGTATTTTAGATTACTATGGTTTTAAATACTTTGAGGTGTTTGGCTCTAGTTAAAATTGTAGCATTATAAACTACAGTATCCACAAAACTGTAGTATTTTTGCAGTATTAAAAAAAGAGGTTAGGACCTCTTTTTTAAAAACTGAGAAACACAACAAATGCCTTGTCTTAGCGGTGGCCTATTACAACGCTGTATACTGATTGCCAAACATGTCATTGTTTCCACAATACTTAAAAAACTGTTGTTTTTCATAAACTACAGTATTCATTGTCATCGGTATAAAAAACTGTAGTATCGGAATACTGAGGTTTTACAAAAACATTGCTTACAAATAGAGAGGACTGGAGGCCTACAAAATAGGTAATAGGAAGAATTTACCGCTGTCAAGGCCTGACCAACACATCTCAAACGAGATGAAAAATATTGCTTTCTTCAGTCTTTCATGTTGGGCAGTAAAAGAGCTTGCTAAAATGTGCTGCCTTTCTTTTTAATTATAACATATGTGTATGTACTTCAGGAAGTTCTGCCGCAACAAAAACAGGCTGGATTACCAATTGTTCTTCCGCACGAGAGGTGCCTTCAGGTCTCTTGGACCGGATGCGCTGATCTTACTCGTATGTTTTTTCAATGTTCTGGTGTGCATTGACTCCATATGGGGAAATAATAATGTAGTGGACAAACTGGCTTTGTTAATGATAATACTTGTGATTGGCACAATTCTATTTCCAGAGACTGCAATACCACCCATGTGCAACCCCCTACGCCACACTATCATTATGGAGCCCAGTGGTTGCAATAGTACTGCTTTGCCCCTCTGTACTGTACAGGGTCGATGATGATTCTATTGACAGACTCAGTTTGAAAGCCTCAACTACCAAGCTGACAGTGTACCTGATACTATCTGTGGTCGTGCTTCTACTCACAGTAAGCAGGCTGCAGTTCCCAAGAATAGTCAAACTAGTAGACTGCACTCTTGGTAACAAAATAGTATTTTGGCGTCGAGTTATTATGAACTTGTGCATGTTGGCTGCAATGGTATTGCCCATCGTCACTTCTCATGGCGATGTAAGAGGGGCGATGATCATGTTAGACATATTTGGTCTAATGATAGCGTCATTTGGCAACCTCCAGATTCCTGCAGCAGTAGTGCGCATTGGGCTAGCACTGTGGGGCCTTATAGTTATAAGGCAATACTCACATGATGATCATGAAAATGTTGACCAGACAAATCTTGGGAAATCCCAGTTAATCTTTTATTTGATGGTGCTTGGCCAGGGAATACTCTATATTGTTGGTGGCCTCCTTGAGATTTTCTCGTTCATCCTACGGCGATCCCTCACCCGTCATGCTGGATTTAGAGGTCCCCAAGGATTGGAATATGTCAATTTATACTATGCATATGTCTTCGACAAATGCATGAAAGGGGCTGTGCTTGCTCCAGAGAAGACTAGCCTCATCACATTTGCTGTGGATTCTTTAAATTCAGGCTCACCCAAGAAGCAACTCTATGGGCTTAAGATGCTGCTCACCTTTCTCGAAAAGGATCCCTTAAAGACCAAAGCCATATCGGAACTCACCACTTCCATAAAGACAATGACCTGCTTGATCAGCATGTTGGGTTGGACGTGTGAAGGGGATAAAGATATTAGATTATGTGCTGCAAAGGTCACAGCCAAGCTCGCAGATAACCTCTACATTGTCCCTATCCCTGGGGCAATGCAGCTCATAGCCTCACTTCTGGACACTACTCACCGGCAGAAATTAAAGGATCCTCTTCTGGACATTGGCAGCCCTAAGGCAAAACAGGATAGTCCGATTCAACAAGTTAGAAGGAATGGACATACCTCCCCGATGCTTAAATGGTTGAAAGAGTTGTCAATATACTGTTTGATTCCAAGGAAGGAGCCAACTAACATGGATGAACAAAATTCCCATGTACTCCGATGCTGGAAGCGGATTACAAAACGTTGGTCTGTTCCAGAGGAGGAGCCATCGACAGATCAAGATCACCTACCTTTGTTGGGCATGTTAATTCTTGGCAAGCTTGCCAGCTTTGATCTTGAGAACTGTATAGAAATCAGCAGAGCAACTGGCCTCATCTCAAAGATCATAGAGTTCACAAGCAGCAGAACTGAAATGACTAATATTAATGAGACACAGCAGGCACTGCTGAAAGGTTCATCACTGGAGCTGCTGACAAGATTTTCAAGTACTAAAGGGGAATTTGGTGTAATTATGCGTCAGAGGATTTCAGAACATCCCTTCCTTTTGAGCCATCTTGCAGATATCTTGGATGACAGTGGGAGTAGCCAAGAACTTAGGGAGCTCACGTCAGAACTCCTTAGAAACCTGGCCATGGAGGGAAATACAAAGGAGGAGATTGGACAAATCCGAGTGATCATTAGCAGGTTGATGCATGCATTTCTCAGCCAAGATGCACTCTCAAGTACGGATTCAGGTCAGCGGCTACGAATGAAATCAGGACAAGCACTGGCAGTATTGGCAATGGAGAGTGCGAATAACTGTTCCGTTATGTTAGAAGAACCAGGGTACGTATTCATCAAGGAACTCACACTTATGATCCATAGTGACAGGTACAGGTACGTAGCATCAATCTTGTTGCGGAATATGTGTGTGCATGTTCGACCAGAGCTTTTCAACTCTGACCTGAAGGAAATCTCCTACATCGTGAGAGAGGTGAGCCCTACTAATAGAACCTAAATGTGCAATATAAGAGGCAGATATTGTAAATTAATATTTGACATGGTACTGCAACCTTTTCCTTCCCATACATTTAAGCTAATACTATGGAAACACCATAAACTACAACAGTTATAATTGCTATGCACGACAGAGCTAAATAAATGGACGTTTAACATCAACCACTTAAACAGAAAGTTGTGAATACTACTGAAGTTTAATCGTGGCTTACATAGCTTATCTTTTTTTTCCCACTATAGGTACTGGAAGGAATAATGGATGCAGAAGGGAAAGAACTGGAGGTCCTTGTTGATCTTAGTTCACAAATATATAATGCCACTCCAGACGATTTTGCGCGAGAACTAGAGCATGGTCAGATTAAGGAGACATTTATAAAGAGGCTTGTCAATGCACTTAACTCAAATATGGTACCCACTGCTCACTGTCCCGGCATCAGGAGGGTGATAGTTGAACATGCCATATACATGATGGAATCCAATACGGTCTATGCTAGCTGTTTCAAGAACTGTGGGATGATGGAAGCACTACTAGTGGTAGAGCGTACACCTTCAAGGGCTGAAAACTACAGGTTCTTCTCAGGTGATGCAGGACTCATGGAGCACAGCATACCTCTATCCACACTTGTGGCTAGAGCAAAAGAACTGATGGACCGCGAGTAGCTACAAGGCATCAGCAGTGAAGTGTCACCTGAGTATGTGTTTAGAAGATATTGTACTCCTACTAATAGTATATACTGGGACTTGTAGGCTCAATTTTTGCTCACGACAGTAGCAAGTTACACCAAGGAGATCCCAGGAAACTAGAATTGATATTAAGCATTTAATTTGTGTATAACAAGTCACAATGTGTATCATGATGATGGCAACTTAAATAATGGATGTAAGACCATGGATATATGAAAAATGATGAATCTGCTTTGCAGTTCAATATGAAATGTCATGTTAGTTGCACATTGTCAGGGTATGAGTCTTCAACACTAACTCAGTCTTTTAGATTCTATAAGACTTACATCGGGTGTTGTTTAGCACTAGTAAATGGCGCGATCATTGAGTACTCACGAGGCACCCACTTCAGTCCAGATCCTAAACACTCATTGAGTTTATCCTGCTAATTTCCCAACTATAGATGGCACTGACCCTAACAAAGAATGATGCAATTTGATCATGGATGGAGAGGAGCCTTAGCACAATCTATTTTAACTAAGAACCCACTAAGTAGTAGCATGGTAATTTTTTTGGTTTACTCGAAGACCACAAATATTGAAATCTCTGCTTCCCTGATCGCAATCGGCCATTAACTGAACACTACAGAGTACCTATCTCATACAACCACGAACCGAAACGATGTATGTGTACAATGTACTTCCAGGACTGTCAGAGCCCGGTGCTCGGGGTCTCCGGCGGCACTCTGCCTCAGGCCGGAGAAAAAAGGGATTAATCAGAGGCGAGAAGGCGAGACTGCACCTGTCAGATGAGAAAGGGTTCAAAGCTGGGACGCGACTTCCACACGGCCCAGCGATTCGGATCCCTGCCGGAGAGGCTGGTGGCGCGCCACATCCGGCTCATCGGCGCCGCCGGCGCCACCCGTCCCGCTGCTTCCAAAAAAAACGTCTTCGTTTTTTTATGCCGATATCCACCACACGTGTGGCCAGTGGCGGAGTCAGGAAAGTTGAATAAGGAGGGCCAAGTGTTGTTTAGCTTTGTTGAGGAGGGCCGGATTGTCAAATTACATCATTTTTAGCCAAATTAATCACGTACTGACATGCATATTAGCTTGAATTCAATGATGTTAGGGAGGGCCAGGACCCCTGCTGGCATCCCCCTGTCTCCGCCACTGCGTATGGCATAATAGGCATTCGTCCACACACCGTGTGTGACATGAGCAGGGGGCAGCCCACAGGGGCTATGTGTGGGCGAACAGTAGAATTACCCACACGTGTGAACGCAGCTACTTCGTGTCAATACGCCCAACAAGTACTACTCATCCTCACCCCGCGCGTGTGGCATGAAGCAAATATGCCCACACGTCCTGACGCAGCTACATTAGGTACCCGCGGGATGACGATTTAGTTGCCATCCGGGATGGCAGATGTAGTTATCCGGGATGTCAAATATGGTTGTAAAAACATGACAACTCTCTCTGTTTTGGTTAAGTATAGTTGCCATGTCTAATTTATGGTAGTTGTTGCGTGTAATCAAATCATAGTTGTCGTGTGTGATTAACTACTTGCCACATGTGGTCAAACAATACTTGCCATGTGTGTTTACCTAGTTGCCACGTGTGGTTAATCACAATTGCCATGTATGTTTATTTGATTGCCACATACGCGCAACTGCAGTTGCCCTCTAGCAAACGAATCATAGTTGCCATGTGTGTTTGTCTAGTTGCCATGTACGTGCAACTGCAGTTGTCATCCAACACCGTACGACTGTCGTGTGGGCGAAAAACAGTTCGCCCACATGCGCGTGAATTAGGTGATGGTTGTGTGGGCAGAAACTAATTCGCCCACACAGCGCAGCTGGCAACCGTGTGTTGTGGGACGTGTGGGCGACCTCTACAACGCCCACACACCGGTCTTGTTCTACGTGGCACGCGAAAACTACCTCGGTGTGTCAAGATTCGTGCAAGCTTAACTGGACGGTGATTCAGGCGTGTGGGCGAGTTGCAATGTTGCCACACGTGTGGGCATTAGTGTTTTCGTTTTTTTAGGAATATGTCGAGCTGCTCGTGCTCCTGATCGCTGTTTGAGTCCGTTTGCGCGCGTATAGACATGTACAGTGGTGTTATTTTAGGAGTGTCATGTAGTATAAATGATGAAATGAAGAAAAGAGAATTTTTAAGAAAAGGCTTGTCTTCTCTTATTTAAAAGAAGAAGACAAGAGATGATCTCTTAGTACAATATGTCTCACCATATTTTTAGAAATTGTTAGTTATTGAAAATAAGGCTAAGAGATGAGTTATTGTAGATTTTTTTTTGTTATATCTAGATTACATGTAAAACTTAAGATAAAACTATGTTATCAACCATTGTAAATGCCCTAAGTCCAATAACTTGACTGTTTAAAATGCTGTCAAAGTGTCAACCTTTGGCACAGACCTGCCCATCGAGCGATGACCTGCGCCGTCCCGTCTAGAAGGTTCCCTCAATCGGTTTTCTTGTTTTTTTTGTTTTTTGTTTTTTGTTTTTTTCTTTTTTAGTTTTTTTGTTTATTTTTCTTTCTTTTCTTTTCCTTTTGCCGTTTCTTTTTTCTTTTTAATTTATTTTTTATTTTATTTCCCCCTTTTTTCTTTTTCAAGTCGATATTTGCCTTTGTTTAGTTCAAATTTTTTCATAGTTTAAAAAAATATTCAAAAATTTAAAAAATGTACAGTAATTTCAAAAAATGTTCATATATTTCAAATTTTCTTCACAAATTTAGAAAATTTTCATATTTCAAATAAAATCTGGAATTGCAAAAAATGTCCACGGTTGCAAAATTTGGTCTGAAATTCAAAAAATGTTTGCATTTGAAAAAGTGTTCAGGAATTTCAAAAAGAATTGTGGTTTCAAATTTTTGGTAGATATTTCATGAAGTTCCATTTTCAAATTTTTGTCCAGAAATTTGAAAAATGTCCGTGGTTTCTTTTTTTTCCTAATTTCATGAAATGTTCCATTTTCCCAATATTGGTTCAAATTTTAAAAATATCCTTGAGGTTTTAAAATTTGTTCCAAATTTCATAATTTGTTCACAACTTCAAAAAATGGTCCACGTTTTTCAAAAACATTTTCTGTAGTTTCTGTTTTTTTGTTTGCGTATGTGAAAAAATGTTCATGTGTACGAAAATCTGTTTAGAAATTCAAAAAATGTTCACACTTTTCCAAAGTATAGACTTTCAGAAAATAATGTGCACTTTTTTTAAGATGTTAACTACAACATCTAATTCCGGTTTGATACAGTAGACAAGTCCGGTTGTACGTTTGTGCTAAGTTATTAGATGTGCGTTGTTCCGCTACATGCAATACTAGTCAGCTGGAGTGGCAGTTAACACGCATTTGCAAGCTGTTGGTCGCCAGTTCAAGTCCTTTCATTCGTGATAGGAGCTCCCCTCCTATGGGACGCTTATTACGTCGAAGAGTCGACGTTCCGCACAGAGGTGGCACAACTGGGCCGTCCCATTTGGCTTTCGTGAGATTAAAAAGCGCGACAAAGGGAACCCGCTAGCGCTGGGTTTCAAACCCGTGACATACAGTGTTGCCGCGCTGTCTCATTTGTTGTGACCAACTAGCTATCGTGCTTACCCCTCAAAAAAAAAAAAACTAGCTATCGTGCTTGATGTGCAGCGCAGCACTAATAGAAGCAAAGGACAGCGATAAACTTAACGTTTGCTAAAAAAATCCCAAAAAACTAAATGCTAAAGTCCCACCGAGGGATCAAAATAAGCACCTCTTGCTAGGGAAATAGGTCGCTAGCCACTATACTTCCTCAGATTTTTTCTCTAAAATTGGAATCCGGTGTATATAAACTATAGGCTGCAACCAATTAAGATATTTTGAACTTTTGAACAGGATTTTTCTTAAAAGTAATTAAATTGTGAAATGGGAAAATTTTCAAACTTGTGAACATAATTTTAAAACCACGAACATTTCATGAAAACACGAACATTATTTTGGGATTGTCAACCATTTTCTTGCCAAAAACGAAAGAAATTGCAAACCAGAACATTATACAAAATTATGAATGATTTCTAAAAAAATGCAAACATTTCATGAAAACCCAGGATTTTTTTTAAATGAGAACATTCCTAAAAATAATGAACAAATATTTCAAACTCATACATTTTTCGCAATTCCCTGAATATTTTTTAAATTTGCGAACAAAATTTGAAAGCAAGAACATTTTTTGAATTTGTGAACAAATCTGGAAAGCTAGAATGTTATTAGAAATTCCAAAACATTTTTAAATTGTTGAACAAAAAATAAAAATGCGTACATTTTTTAAAATCCTTGGAACTTTTTTGAATTTCGGAACAAATACTTAAAACAAGAGCAGTTTACAAATTCGTGTTTTGTTTTAGAAATTGGGAACATTTTCTTCTGTGCAGCAATGAGGATAATCCTCAAGTTACGGACTCAGTCCGTGTAATTGCTACCATCATCTTTCAACTTTGCTTTCTCAAGAAACGCAATAAAATTTAACGGAATAACAGCACGGGCAATCTATCTACAATAACATAGACAAGCAAAATACTATCTGGTACTAAGTTCATGATAAATTGAAGTTCAATTAATTATATTACTTGAGAACTCCCACTTAGATAGACCTCTTTCTAATCATCTAAGTGATCACGTGATCCAAACCATAACCGATCATCATGTGAAATGGAGTAGATTTCAATGGTGAACATCACTATGTTGATCATATCTACTATATGATTTACGCACGACCTTTCGGTCTCAGTGTTCCGAGGCCTTATCTGCATATGCTAGGCTTGTCAAGTTTAACCTGAGTATTTTGCGTGTGTAAAACTGTCTTACACCCGTTGTAAATGAATGTTGAGCTTATCACACCCGATCATCACGTGGTTTCTCGACACGACAAACTTTGGCAACGGTGCATACTCAAGGAGAACATTTTTACCTTAAAATTTAGTGAGAGATCATCTTATAATGCTATCGTCA